AAAAAAAAATGGAGATGACAGTTAAGAAAGTATACAATATGAGCAATGCTTACATTTTTGTGAATTTAAGGTTATACTGGTATTATATTAAAGATATTAAAGTGCTAAAAAGCTACTTAAGACTTGTGAAGTTATTAGCAAGGAAATATTAAGCTTTGCTGTATGTGTATTCCATTTTTAGTTATTTTGTACTATATTATATGTTTTATACACTGAAGAGTGTGGCCAGAGCAAACCAGGGAGGAGAGAAGATCATCTGAGTTTGCCTAACATTTATGATTAATGCTTTAGGGTTAGCACAACTATATTTTTAGTTAGCATTCCCCACCACTGCCCAAATGTAATCCATCCTGAAACAAACACAACACAGTGAAGTCAAGAAATTATTGTTGTCCTGGCAACTGCTAAGCCTACACTCATCCACAGAACTGACAGAGAGGCATAATTGATTTTTCCACTTTTACACTGTTTTAGAGTCCATGGAAGGCTTGTTTTACACCACAGTATCAGACACATCGAAATTTACACATCTGTCATCATGGAAGTGATTGAAATACTTGATCTAATATTTGGGTCAGCAAGCAGGTTATTTTGGTTATACAGTGTATGTATGCAGGAGTTCTTTCCTACACATAGACATAATGTACCTGATGTGAGCAGAAGTGCCAGGGCTCTGAGTCCAACAATGGTTACTTGATGGTCTGCAAGAAACTCCGTTAAGACCTTCAGGATCTGCCTGAAAACAAAATCAGAATGAGAAATCGTGTTAATAGAGCCGCATGATGTTGGTGAAATCATGTAGCGGCAAAATTATTGGTAAAATAGTTTAATATTGGTATCTACTGTGACAAATACACATTTTTCTTAGTTCTCCCTTTTTTAGCTGTTCTTCCAACACTCCCTTAGCATCTTGGGTATTGTAGTCCGAGCAAGACAAACACCAATTCTTACTGGCAAAATGGGAAAGACGAGAGAGCATACTGATCAAGCACGGCAGTAAGTTAGGGAATAGCTTCTTGCCTAAATGTAGACATTTCTACTTTTGAAGCGATAAGAAAAAGGTTAAAACAATTGGGACATTAAGGAACAAGGCTGAACAAGACACTGATCTCAACTAGATATGATGTAAAGTAAGCTCCATGGTAAGAGAAATAAAAATGTCTAAACGGCACGTCTTTATCACAAGTGCAAATAACTGTGGAAGGTGTACTGTGAGAGGAAAATCCCCAACGGCAGATTGCATGTTGGTCGTGTTGTTAAATTAAGCTTGGGCAACTTGAAAACTGACAAAATTTGCGTTATGTGAACTAATTATAAAATTCATAGATGGCTATTCAAATCATGTAAACAAAGGGGAGGAAACCAGGTCAATGGGTTCAATGTCTGAGGAAGGGAAGGGCAACATGTTTGCCCAGAGGGCTGCGATCTGTACAATACTGCATCATAATTATAGCGCCACATGTTGGACATTTGACGACAAACGGAAGAGTGTCATAGTTTGTCATCAGGCAAATTTTGTTTTGCTCACTTCCTGTGTTTTCATGACTGCTAACTTGCACATTTGTGGATGGTTGTCTCCTTTATAAAATATCAATGTAGCTACACTTGAGTGGATTTCATTTCTTTTTATGTTGACGGAAGAGATTAAAGGTTGCTCATAACAAGAGGAGTGGCGTCAACTTTTCTTATTCTTAAAGCATTTTTCTCTCTCAGTGGCAGAGGACAGGGCAGAGCAGGTGCTATACATTGTTAGCTAACAACGACACACAGGTACATAACCTACTTGAATGATTTCATACTATTTGAACATTACTGGTATGTGGCATTTCATTATCTCTTGTCTATGCCTTTTCATACCGACTCATCGATGAAGACAGGACCGTTGATCAAGTATCATGAACCAGCTTTGGCCTTTCTTTGCTCTCCTGCCCACTTTGGATGTTTTTTGTGGTTCAGCCAAAACAAGGCAAATACAGCTAGTTTCAAAAAGATAACTACTACATTTCAGGGGTTTTTTTTCCAAACTGTTGTTGCACCATTCTGTTCAAGTTCTTTCATTTGCACTGAGGAAGTTCCAAATTTGTCAATGTGATATTTCCCCCAAGCAATTTCTCATTTTAGTTATAACAAACTATTGATTTTGATTGGCTGATCCGTACCTAACGAAGGCTCCTCTGCCAGGAACTTTTGTCATTTTGGAAGATACAGACTGAATTGAACTATCAAGAAGCTTTTGACTGTCAAAGAAGCTGGACCTGACCCAGTTACAAGGCCTTCAGTGATCAACCTCTGTGGAATGCAGTTGTGTTGAACAATTCTTTAGACTTTATGATACAATAAGGCTACATACACAGCAGGTATTGAAGCTCAATTCTGATTTTTTGCTGAAAACCATTTTACAACCCCAAAGTGACTCGCGTGCGCAACGGGAGCAGACAGTAACGCCACAAGATCATAACACAAAGGAAGATTAAAAAACAAAAAAAAGGCATGTCTAATAGCAACTGCCTTTTGTGGAGTACTGACTGCAACTTCTGAAGAGAAGTGTGTCTGCATACAACGTTGGAACTAAGAGTGGTGGGATGGTGAAGTGAAGCGCTTTACAGACACAGAATTCTTTCATAATTCTTAGAATTTTTCAGCTGTTGTTTATGTCCGGGTTTATATTAGTTTGTCTGAAATTGTGTTTCTTTGACATTTGCGGAATATCGACAGAGATTTACACACCTGTGTAATGGAAACACAGCTACTGGGTGGGAGAAAATATCTTACTTGCATTAACGGTGCGAGTACACGGCAAACATTCCAGCCCACCAAACACAGGGACTATTGCACACACCGATGTTAAGATTGTGAGTTGAAATATTTTACAGGTCTGTAAAAAGATTTGAATCCCTAACAAATAGGTTTGTCTTCACTTACTGGTGCACTGCCAGTACCTCCCAGTCTCTGCTGGCCTGCAGAGGTCTGCAGAGCTCCTCCAGCGTTTTCGGCCGTATTTCAATGAGCCTGCACAGCAGTGACAAGCCCACCTGAGGTAACAAGAGGTGAAAGAGGAATCATATCAGACAACTTTTTTTTCTCTCTCTAAATGACTAAAGTGGTTTCGGTTTCAGGACCTCTTGGGAAAGGCAGGTGAGTGTGTCACATCTGTGCTTATACTGTCTCACAATCATACTTTCAGTTTGCGTTGTGCTGCATTTCTTAGCCTGCTAAGCAAAGGTACACCTGATGCCATAAATTGGCTGGATCAGACAGAGAAAAGTCGCTTACAGATTAGTCATTTTCTAACAGAGCTCACACCCTTGAAAGCAAGTTTGTAACTTCACATTTCTGTTGCTTTTTACACAAAAAACTGTCCAAACAGAAGCTAAAGGTGAAGCCGTTTGACAGGTCAAGATGCGAAGGGTTACCTCCTGGACTTTTTTGCTGTTTGTATAAGAAGAAAGCACCACTGTGAGGGGAACGTGGACATCTTTGTCTTCAAAAAGCTCAGCTGCTGCAATAACAAGAACAAGAGCAAAAAAAAACATCAGACCTGACAAGTAAGCTTTAAACACACGACTGCTTCTACTTTCAATGTGACTGGAAAGAGGTCACATTAAAAATAGAATTCAAATTTGAATTCCAAAAAAAGACCAGTGTTACAGCAAGAACAAGTCAAAGGAAGCAGTAATTACTCGGGCAGGATTTTTATTGCAGCTTTTTAACTGTACTTAGCTTTAAGTGTGGGTGAGTAAAACATCACATATTTTAAGAATAAACCTGGAAATGTTAAACATTATAGCGACAGACATACAACACCATCTGACTGAAATGCAGGATTGACAACAATCCTAAGGAATTTTGAATGAGTTTAGCATCTCCATCAGCAGCTATGAGGTGAAGTATTTATAATTTAATGAGGTCATATACACCGTCAGGAACAAGAACGTCTGCACAGTTAGAAACACTAAAATCTGACCTGAATTTGGAATAAGCTTGCTGGAAACATCTTAAAACTTTCCCAAAATGCCATAATCTGATTTGTTGGAAATGTGATCCGAATTGACAGTTCGCAAAATTTGCCTCTCAAATATATTTTCTTCTTGGCATCACATACACTGGTAATCAGCACACTGTGAAAACTCCTGTTTTTACTAAAGGTGGTCGTATTTGCTGATAATCAGCTCATCAGGGAGATGTTAGATTTGCCCCCTGACTGTAAGAGTAAATTGGTTAAGGTATTGCTGTTTTCTAATTCAGATTTTTCTGTGGTTTTTTTATATTGGTAAATGGGCTCTCCTCCCAGGGCAGCAAACTCTTGGGGGAGGCGGGGAGTGTTAAGAAAATGAAAGTGAAAATCCATGCCAGTTGTGTTCCAAACTAGTTTCCTTTGCTTGCTGCATTGACGATAAACAGGAAGTGTGCACCACCTGTAAAGCATTTTCTTAACATCCTGGTTGTTTCTGGTTGATTCCACTATATATTTTTATGTCTATTTAAATATATACATATGTGTGTGTGTGTGTGTGTGTGTGTGTGTGTGTGTGTGTGTGTGTGTATTCAATAGTTGCTTTCTTGCACAGTGATTCTGAGGGAAGTTCAAATTCATTTCAAGTGAACAAAACTTGGGATTCACAGCTTCTAATTTATTGGCAAAAATAGGACGACTGCCATATTTTACAGGTAACTTAGTATGTTTTTTTTACATATATGTTAAAGAATACTGAGATTGATCCTTTATACTGCATAACTATTTGTTTAAACATGGTTTGACAATAATCAAATATTTGTTCCACTTATTTAAAAAAAATGAAGGGTTTTAGGATGCATTAGTGGGGTTTATTGTCATCCTGCCAATAAACCCCACTTCCTGTGATTTTTGTAACAATTGCATAAAGTTTACTACGCACTACATGCAGCAACTAACTGGACTGTAGGTTTTTGCATGGAGTCGTTTTAAAACATAAATGTCCTCAATCTACTGCAGCATGGTTACTTAAAGGTTTTCCTGTTTGCTACCAGCAGTTTGGTGAACATGCAGGGAACAATGGGGGGTTTCCTACCATGTTCCGTTGCCGTCAAGGACCGCAGATCCTGCAGGATTTGGATCAGCGTGGACAGCTGCCTGTCCTCCTGCGGGTTTTTCAGCCGCACCAGCAGCTTCTTCAGCCTTCCTTCCAGCTCTTCTTTGTTAACCATGGTCTTTGAAGAGTTGTTTTCCTGCTGAAGGCTTGACGTGCATTTAGGTCAATCAGTGCACTCTCTCGCAGTGAGAACCGAGAACGTGTTCCGTGAGCCCAAGCTGGCTGTTACAGCAAACTTCCCCGACAGCCACATGTATCATAGCACCATATTATTATGCGTTACCTTGTTTGCGTATTATTACAGTAGCTACAGTAGAGCTACAACTTGTTATAAGGGGGAAGCTGTCAGTGACGAGGAGTTTCGGTCCCAGCGTTGACATCAGCTTCCTCTCATAACTTTCCTTCGCGTGTTCCCCATTTTTCGTCCACGTTCCGGTGTTTCTGTGGGAGACGCCGCTGGTTCCTCTCTGACTGTTCCTGCTTCTCCACGGTCACATCATATGACTCGAGCGAGGAAAAAGAACTTCCCGTTTAGAGAAGAAGAGACTGGAAAAGGACACCGCGCGGTGGCGCAGCACGAGGGCGCAGCTGTCACACCGACACAAGTTTGGAACCAAGTTTGTCTCGTGAGGAATGTTTTGGAACTATGGCAACATCGGCTGATAAGTGACACAACCCTAAAAATAGTCAACCTCTAAAACTTTTTAAATTTGTGTGATACTTTGCTAATTTATAAATACTCAACACTGATTTACGCCGTGTTCCATTGACAGCACTTCCCAATCTGCGTTACTCAAACACAAAGCAAATTCCATGGGTGAAGAACAAGCGTTAGACATGTTTTTATATGTCTGAAAACATTTTTAATACAACATATATTTCGTTAATAATCCGGAATGAAGAGGGAAAACAATTTTTTCAACGTACTCTAACGTCACCGTCAAATGAGTTGGATTTTGTGGCGCAATCACAAGTTTTACGGCAATCAGGATGCGTCTCAGAATCCCAGCGTCACTAAAGACAAAAACTAATAGATCCAAAAACAAAATACAAAACAAAATTGAAAATAACTATTTATGGGTTGTTTTTCATTTTTAGACAACAAATCTTTGTATTTTAGGGAAGAAAATGTGCAAGTACGCAATCATTATTTTGTATTTATTACCTTCTTTGAAATTCGGTGTTAAACAGTTTTTAAACATATTTAGAGATATTTTTTATAACGTTGTATATTAAAAACAACAACAAAAACAAAACAATTGTCAGCCGTGTCTCCTATCTCAAACGTGTTTAATTCTTTGGCGCGCAAATAGAAGTGTTACGGTAGTTGGAATATATGGAATGCTCGAACGCCTGAAAATACTTACATAGTTTTAAAAACTGAGAAAAAATAGCTCAAATTAAACATTTTGACAAAACCTAATAAAGAAAAACTTAATCAAGATATTTTTGCTGTCCTATAACCTATAACTGTAATTAATTATGTAAGACATCTACATCTTTCTGGAAGCTGAACTTCAGGGTTTACCTTATCTAAAACATTCAACCTTTTCAGTGTGAGTTACTGTCAGCATTAACATAAACATTGCATTAAATGACTTTGGGTTGTTTCAGAGCAAAATAAGCATTAATTTTTTATCAAAATAAAAGCATTGCCTGTTCTGTCTGTCTGTGTCTGGAATAAAGATGATGATGATGATGATGATGATGATGATGATGAAAATGTCATCATGGCAACTTTCAACATTCTCATGTATTTATTATCTTGTGTAACTCATAGCCCACCTTGGAACTTGCTTATTGTTTAGAGTTGTAAAGGATTGTTTCTCGAAGCACAAAAAAATCCTAACAGATTTTATTCTCTATATTTTAAATGTTTTTTTGCATATTTGTATTTATTACTTAAACAAGTATTACCCTTTATCTTTTTTCAAAATATAGGTATTTGCATGTAGTCTTGGACGTGGGGGGAAAGACTTGTGAATATCTCACTGAACAATAGTGAATTACTTCATTTTTTTCTCATTTTCTTCACGTTTCATATTCATGTTTTATGGCACTACGGTGATCCCATACATCTGAACATTTAAAAAAAAGAAAACAAAAGAAAAAAACTTTTGTGGAACTGATTAATGAGCACATAAAGTTTGTGCTATAATAAATAAAATACGAAAAAACACGACGTCTTGAAACTAGAACTATGCGTGCAATAAAAAAATCAACTCAGTAATGGAGTCGAAGTCCGTCGGTCTTTGGAAACTACCATCTATAAACCTTGTTGAGTCTCTCTCGCTGAACATCCAGATGAACAGGTTACGACCATGGTTACGACATGACCTGGACTGCCGCCGCCTTCCTGCTGTCCCTTTAATCGGCAATATCATATGATCCAACAGAAAGCTTCCTGTTCGCCGAAGAAGAAATGCTGTGCAGCAGAGCGTTGGAAGTTTTTTAGGAGGTAAGTGGATCCAAGTAATACAATTATAACAAGAAAGCAAAAAATAGATATAAAATAATAACTAAAGCAAAGCAAATCATTTGTCTGAGTCAAAGAAATAGTTTGAGGATTGAAAATTTTATGTTCAACGAATTTGGATCTATTGGATTAGTCTATAAGCACTCTATAAACTAAGATATGCTTAAATGCATTCATTTAAGCAAATCTTCAGAGCAAATAGTTTTCTATTTAATGCGCTTATGAAAACAACCAGCGAAAGAAAATTGATCGAGTCGACGTTTGCGGATGTTGACTTACAGTGTCAGCAAATGTATTTTGGTTTAATGAAACTTGCCGAAAAGCAGCGATGTTCAACTGTGACACAGTCATTGCATTGAGCCTCACGGTGGTTGTAGATAACCACCGTCAGAACTCTTTCGAGTTCTCTTTTTGAACTCGAAAAAGAGACGAGCAACGAGCTTCCAGTGGTCGTGCGTCAATATCTCCGCCATATTGCGAGGGGCATGAAAATCGTAAAACGTAGTTCGGCTTTGATTTTTTTTTTTTTAAATAAAAGTTGTGTAAATAACAGTAAAATAGAATTGCTTCTGTTAAATTCTTTAGACAAGCTAGTTTAGCATTCACTAAATGTGGCTAGCTGTAAACCACAAAAACACTAGAATAAAACATCTTAAATCACAAACTTCCTATCAATAATGAACATTTCTGATTTTTTTTTTAACGTCGTTATTCCCTAAAGAAAAAAAAACACATTTTCAGGGAGAAAGAATGTTATCCTGTATTTGTAATTCAACTGTAATAATGGATTTACGGATAATTGGACTACATATTAAAAACGGCCCCAACTTTAAAACGTGTTTCTTCCTCTTTTTCACTAACATGCCTATGTAGACTGCCTACGTCACGCAAACATGGCTGCCCCGAGCGCTTAGCCGTCTCCTTATCAGATGAGTAAACAAACAAATGTGCCCTGCCAGTTTACTGCCAAAGTGCAGTTTGGGCTTTTTTTTCTTACGACGTTGCGACTGTCGTCGCTGCTGTGACAGAATATTAAGCAGAAATAGCAAACGCTGCCTTATCGCCTGTTGTTAACCAGATAGTAGGTTAAGTTTGACTCTAACTTGGTGCTGTCATGCCCCCCAAAAAGCGCAGGTTGTTTAACTAACTAACTAACTGTAACTAACTAACCCCGGCTTTCTCCTGTGTCCAGCAGCTTCAATGACAGATGAGTAACCGCACAGGTAGCAGGAGGCAGAAAGCTGCAGAGGATGGAGAGCGGAGTCTCATTGGACCTCCGTCCGGACACGCCGGGGAGAGCGTCCGGGATCAAGACGCCTCAACGACCCCGTTTTTCGTCTACTTGCTGGCGTTTTTCTCCGCCCTGGGTGGATTCCTCTTCGGGTATGACACGGGGGTGGTCTCTGGAGCGATGCTGCTCCTGAAGAAGGAGATGCACCTGAGCGCCCTGTGGCAGGAGCTGCTGGTGTCCAGCACCGTCGGAGCCGCGGCGCTCTCCGCCCTCAGCGGGGGCTTCCTGAATGGGTGGCTGGGGCGCAGGATTTGTATCCTCATCGCCAGCTTCATCTTCTGTGGCGGTGGGATTGTTATGGCTGTCGCCCTGAGCAAAGTGGTCCTCCTTGTTGGTCGCATCACAGTGGGTTTGGGCATCGGTGAGTAACTCCAGTTGGTGAAGTGAAGAGTATAAATCAGCGGTGACCCCAAGGGGAAGGCATAGGTCCCCCCCAGATAATCATGTTCATTTCACACAAAGGCATACAGAGTTATCTTCTTCAATCAAGACGTAAATGTAATACCCGATACATAAAGAAATACATATTTTTTATAGAAATTTACATACATTTTTATTTAAATACACATAATCTATTTATTATTTTCTTTTTTTTTAGCTATTCCACCCCAGCAAAATTTTACTTGCAATAGATAATAAAACACATTAGTACATTAAAACCACTTTTTGCTGCAATTAAATTTTGAATTATTTACCAGTTTTTCACACATCAGCAAGAACTTAATAATTTTCAAATAAGTGGATGTTGTTTTTCTTCATACACATCCCAATACAACTTACCTGATGTTGGATTATGAGATTGATATGAAGTACAACGTTTGAAAAATATACTTTAATTTAAAAAAACAAAAACAAGAAAAAGTCTTTGGTGCCTCCAAAAATCAGGGCCCCAGGCTGCTGCCCCTGTAAGCCCTTCCTGAAGTCAGGCCCTGATGTTAAGGACTGACGCTTCCCTGGAACGTCATTCTCCACCTTAGTCTCAAGTCTTTTGCTTGATGCTGCCACTCTTTGCTTTAAGGCAGAGATTACATGTGCAAAATGCAAAAACTGGAGTTATGACTTACAAAAAGTCTCTTATTCCCAACAGGCATTGCTTCTATGACCGTCCCTGTATACATCGCTGAGGTTTCCCCTCCGCACCTGCGAGGCCAGCTGGTCACCATCAACTCTCTCTTCATCACTGGTGGCCAGTTTATTGCCAGTGTGGTGGACGGGGCGTTCAGCTACCTGAGTCACGATGGCTGGAGGTATTTGACCCGAAATGTCACCTTTCCTCTCTGGTAATTTCTGTTCAACAGTGTCCTCCTCCAACTACTTCCCGATCGATCCCAGGTACATGCTGGGTCTGTCCATCCTGCCTGCCGTGCTGCAATTCTTCGGCTTCATCTTCTTGCCGGAGAGCCCCCGCTGGCTCCTGCAGAAAGGCCGGAGTCAGGAGGCACGCCAAGTCCTGGGCCGGATCCGGGGGGGCCAGAACATCGAGGAGGAGTACGACACCATCAGGACCAGCATTGAGGAGGAGGAGAATGAAACGGGATCAGGTCTGAGAGACTCAAGGCTCCCGTAGCTTTTTATGTGGCTCTCTAGACCAGTGTTTTTCAAAATGGTGGCCACCATGGGGAATCAGGGGGCTTCAGAAAGATGAGGGGGAAAAAAATAAAACAACTGAATCTAGTAATAATAATAATAATAATAATAATAATAATAATAATAATAATAATTTTAGATAATAAAAAGACCAAAGGAACTGTCCTCGTACAAATAACCCCTAATAGCTCCTGGCTGACTAAAATAAGGAAGGATGAGGCAGCACTTATGTTAACAAATGTAATAATTATTAAATAGTGAATAAAAGTAAGACAACGCATTCTAAAAGCTGATGTTTCTTTACATATTAGCATTGTCTCTGTGTTGGAAAGGGGTCCCCAGCCAAAAACTAATGCACTTTAGGGGTCCATGCAAGGGCGTAGGAACGAGTCTGTCATTGGGGGGGACGCATATCGGAAACCTGACAGATCAGTAA